GCAAACATATTAATAAGTCACCGAAATAGCCCGCTATGAACATACTGAATGAGTGTGGTTCTAAATATAAGAACCACGAGTAACTTGTTATTCCAAAATATCATATTCATAATTTTCGTTTGATTTTTATTTAATCTCCACACTCAAAAAATATCTTCCAGATACTTAATATGATTTTGGGAGGTACTTCATCTCCAATTGATTCCTCAGAAAGCAGTTAGTTGTCGATAAAATAGAAACAAATAGTCGTATAGTGAGTGTTCTGATGTGAAGGCAGACCAAATTACACGCCACATCTCCTAATCATACACATAATGACAGTATGACAAATATTTACCTCGATGATAATGAAATGGTCCGTGCCTAATCTCGTCTGGGGTTATTTTCTTGAAGGTGTCCTTCGAGGAGCGAGATAAGACCAGTTGCTGCATTGAGTTACAGCATGTTGTGTGGAAGCGGATCCTGTATATCTGTGCTTCTAGATAATTAAGGCCTCCGTATCATATATAAAGACACGATGAAAATATTCAACGGCTGACTTACACTAGGAATAAATATCATTGAGCAACAATGTAGGCAGAGATTTATGCATAATGAAATGGAACTGGGCGCGGCTTGACTATATTTCCAAAGGAAAGGTAAATCACCTTCTCCTGGTTATTAATTATTACGAGTTTACATCAGGTTCACTTCTCTTTCTTTCTAGAACTTGGAAATTAAAGAAAAAACGGCGTAAGAAGCGATAAATGACGGATGGCCTGGTATTTTTCATGTGACAGTGTTCCATGTGAATCAAAAATACAAATTATTCTTTCCTTAAAATGGAAACGCTAAACAATGATTGAAAATAACCTTTGCCTTTTGATTTTGGAGAAATTTGTTGGAATTTGTTGGGCAATAAATGTTATTATTATTAATATTGTAACTTAATTCTATTGAAAAGTTCCAATGTCTTTGTATGTTCTTATACAGAGTGTCCGGGAAAATGTGGGAAATCTATCGGGTGCAGATAGAACATGAAAAAATAAGACGTATGGATATAACAGCTGTTCTTGAAGAACTTCATGTACTATTGTTTTCGAGGTATTAAACTGTGCTGACAATTTTCGAGTGCTCGTTGATGTAGAAAATATTTTCTAATTGCGGCTTCCGTACGGTTCTTCTCGGACCAGCATCAGTACTATTTTTTCCAAATTTTTCTACAAATATTAAGAAAGTCAATAATATGTATTACCTTATTAACTGGAATCGCCCACCATTCTCCCTTAGACGTTGGTCAACTCGCTGAAATGTCTTCTGGTTTGGCAGAGCTCGATTAGGAAATCTGCCGTGATTTATCATACAGGGTGTTAAAAATTTAGGCATTAAGTTGTAAAGCTTAGCCCGCTCCTGGTAAACTAAAAAAGCTAAATATGTTTCAAGACTCTATTTTAAGAAGTCCTTACTAGTCACCATCACATAAAATTTTTATTAAATTATATTAAGTTATTCAAGAAAAACCGATTTCCAGTGGCGTCCTTCAGGTACACATATCTCCGTAGGGGGGGGCCTGTACGAAAAAATTTTACAGGAACTTGTCATCTTATTTTTTCATGTTCTATCTGCACCCGAGGGATTTCCCACACTTTCCCGGGCACCCTGTATATTTTATAATAATGAAATCTTTAACCATGTTGTGTAGATCTTTTTCTTCTACAGCAAGTAGGAAGCAAATGGGAAAACTCGCACTGCAACTTAACAATAGAAACTCAATTTATTTTTAATGCCCTCCATTTATAGAAACCTTGATCGACAAACACTCGAAACAGAATTAGGTCTTACGAATAAAGAATTATTTATACTTTCATTTATTTTACTCATAAATTATTCAGCGGGAAAGAATTTTGATGTTCGAGGTCAATCGGTGCTACAGTTTTCGAATCGTTACTAACACAATTCTAGATTATATATTTATAAATTTCAATACAATGGCGTTTTCTGGAACGCACAAATCATATTTGTTTACCAAAGCAACATTTCTCGAGTATATGGGGTACTTATCGGTTACCAAGGAAAATCGTGCGAGAAAATCGAACGCGATATCACCGGTTTGTTGGTACTTCAAATCTTTAGTTACAGAACAAATAAACAAGGCAAATAAATGTACTCATTGAACTACTTTTATAGTAGTGTGGTGGTGATAAGGCATACCTATTCCTATCGTCAACAGACCACGAAGATAAAAAATTTATTAGATGACTATAAGAACTGAATTTTTGTTACTTTTTTATGGATGCATTTGATGCCGACCAATTTTCCAACCGCATAACAATTGTTATAACAATTTCGTCAAGTCACCCATGTTTGCAATAACATAACGCAATACCTGATAAATAATAATGTTTTTCAATGAGAAAAACACAGGCCAACCTTGCATGCAAAGGAAAATAAAACAAACCGACTGCCATACCTACACATATATTTGTTTTATATTACGTAACAAAAACGATTTCTGTAGGTGGGACTGGATTTAAGAACCAAAGGCCTTCGAGTCCTATTTCTGTTAATAGTACACCGCTTCAGCATCAGAAGCTCTAAAAATAAATTTAATTTAAAGAGGAAGTTCCATTTAGAATTTTATCTGTACATTCCACTTTCGAGGCAGGCTTTTGGGAAGCGCGTTCTAAAAGTTTTAAGGGGCACTATTACATTTTCCTAGCAGAAATTATCTGAACTGTTATGCTGAGTAAAGAAGTTATAATATGTATACATGGGTCAATTTTTCATGGTTATTCCTCGCTTGCTGACATTTATCCATAATTATCTGCCTAAGCTACTGTCCACCATTAATTGGCGTATCGTACACTAAGCTTTTAAGATGGCCTCACAGGTAATAGTCTAAAGGATTGAGGTCTGGTGATTTCTGTGGCCAAGAATGTGGAGCTCCATCATGTTGTAATATCGCGTTTGTTGCCAATTTTGACAAAATTTCTCATAGTGTTATATGTTCTGCGACAAAATAATTCTAAATACCAAACTCGAATGGTAGTTTTCCCAACGGATTAAAGAAACACTGCTGGCTTTACATTACAAACTAATTGAAAACATCGCCACGTATAAGAAAACCAGAAAATTTTGTATACAACCGACTGTTAGTGCAGACTTCGGGAATCCAGATTAACATCTTTATTATGATCCTTATGTCCGTCCGCTGTTGTTCGAATAATGTGAATAAAAAAGGAACACTCGACAATATGCCAACCATATGTCGCATGTTCCATTTCACTAACCTTCCTTTAGCATTCGAGTGTGAAAAGGGGTCAAATTTTGAAATGAAATTAAACCGAGCGACGGTATTCATTCGAGTCGAGCTAAATTTTTAATCTGTCTACGATCATAGTCACTGTAATTTACTTACGGTGTTAAGATTTACTTGTATTTTTGGTGCTTTACTTTTATTTTTTCCTTTGTTAAACCGAAAAAGTAATTTTTACGACTAGGTTTGCAATGTTATGCAACCAGTTATACGTTTCCATGTAATTACGATCCAAACGTGCTAGGATCAGAATTAAATTCAGAATTTTAACACTCATTTTATTTAATTTTATTAGCGACCCCACAAAAAATGGTGTGGATGTTTGTTTAAACAGTGTAACAAAAAACGCTATTCAATGACTGAAAGAAAGATGCCGGAACAATACCCCACTGTTAAATCGTCTCGACACAATTCGATCCTCATTATTTTCCAACCATTAAGGCGATGAATATGAAAAAAGAACGTCCTGAAAGCCCTACCGCTGAATAGCTAATTATAACACCGGTATAGAACCCCGTCTTTAAATAATAGGGGCGCCTTCCTATTTTTTCAGCTGCGTGTTGCGGTCCATCATAAATAATAATGAGGAAGGTCAGGCATCGAAAGTTTATACCTGCCGACGAAATTTTAATGAAAAGGCTAACAAAATGCCACGTCATCTAAATTATGAGACATTGTCCCGCTCCGGGGGCCGCGCATAGGGTTGTTAACTAACCATGAGGGTTTTCGGATAATAAATCTATTGTGTGCTGCAAAGCGGATTTTGATAAACCATTTATTGCCTCTGCTGCGAATCAAATGTGAAATATAATAAAGTTAAAGAACTTCGATTGGTGGGGCACTTACTTAATTAATTAATTTTACTGTAATTTTCTTTACTATATATATTTGCGCATTTAGTCTACATGAAAAAATGAAACAAATTCCCTGAATTAAAGAAATAAGAACTTTTATTGTATGATTAGTCTATCTAATTTAACACTGACTTTCTTTTTTCTTGTATACGATAACACTTTTACCATTGCTCATGATCTCATGAATTATGTTTGTGGCATTGCTCCACTGCTCAAGAATTGTGTTTGTGGCATTGTCGACGGCGTGCATTAGGTCTTGTTTAACTGAAAAAACCCATAGGTCGGTGCTCTGCCTTGCATGAACCAGGCCCTCTTTAAATATAAGATGTCTAAAGGCATATCTTTAAATATGTTTCAAAATTAAAGTATGCGTTGTCTGTTAGCCCTGCCGGCAAGCGATATGCGCCTGTTACAATACAGGGTGTGTAGTTGGAGAAAAAGTTTGAAGAATAATCTAACCGGGGCACGAAAACTCGATTGGCAGAAATATTTTTTGCAAATAGAATATATTTTTTTAAATACTGACTTACCGCATTGATACTATGAAAAGTTTTTGGGAACTGTTGATTTCACCGGCAGCTCTGCCTTATACCGTATCTTTAGATAGCACTGTATGTAATTTATTATGCCGGATATCCTTAAAAGTGAAAGTTGTCACTGTTACATTTTTGCATCACTTATTGGCTGTCATTGAACTTAAGTAACAACAAATGGGTGTGTCAAGAACAGATAATGAGTTTGACATTTTGCAGGTGGTCTTTTACACAGACTACCCTTTTTTAAAGTTTTATCAATTTGTGATAAATCATTTTACTACTGCTTCATGCAATAAGAAATATTTTTTTTTTTAGTGAACTCAAAGCCTGATACTTTTGAGGACACGTATGGAGATGCAGTGGACGACGAAAATAAAAATATCCAAAATGACGATTACGACGATTATGCTAACAGGGAAGAAACGCCGGATGTTGGGGACGAAGTTGTTGAAAGGAACGAGGTCACTCCAGAGTTCCGGACAAAACCTCAGATTTTTGTTGCACGTATAGGCGAAGTGATTCGATTGCCATGCGAGATAACCAATCAAGGTACAATAAAACTTATAAACGAGAATTTGAGTCATTTAATACCGTTTACACTGACTATTTGAAGTAATGTTGACAAATTTGTCACATTTTTTTTTTAGACATGGTTCTCGTGTGGAGGAAAGATGATTCGGAGCTCTTATATCAGGGTGACATTGCTATGAAACAATTTCCCAATGTAAAAAAGACCAGCGAGGGCTTAGAGGTAAACGTAACGTCAGATAGGGACTATGGCAAATACACCTGTCAAATGATGGTCTCGGAAGACAGCAGTCCAAAAATAACGCATATGGTTGTACCTCCAACTCCACCGGTAATAAATTCCATTCGAACCCCCAACAATAACACAGAGGTAAGTGAAATTGGATCGGTATACTCCAAACGAAAGCTAATTATTTTATTTAAATATACTTTGTATATTGAGAAAATGAAATTGTTTATAATATTGTAGTTCAGCATTGGAGGTACTCTAGAATTGCAGTGCATCGCCACCGGCAACCCTAAGCCCAAAATTTCATGGCACAAAGACGGCAAAAGAATAGAACCCACCGGGGAGAATATCACGATCCCAAATCTAAAACCTCACAACGCTGGTCTCTACGTATGTTTGGCAGATAACAACGTCCTCAAACCTGCTCATAAACATATTGAAATTTTTATTGAACGTATGTATTTTTTTCGTTTTATAACTTTGCTTCAGGAATTAATTTGTCACCCCATTGCAGATAAGCCTGTAGTAACAATTGACAAGTATTTGATAAACTCGAACCATGAAGAGGATGTTGAGCTAAAATGCATCGTTCACGCCTACCCGGTACCAGTCGTGAGTTGGAAGAAAGGCGGTATGAATATCAAAGAAGATCCACCCAAGGTCATGCTGAAACGCCACCAAAACAATGTGGAGAATCTCCTGATAATCAGCAATTTGACCGAAGCTGATTTTGGGGAATACACGTGTTCGGCGTCGAACAAATTTGGAAAGGTGGATAAAACCGTGGGTCTCGTAAAAGTTCCGGTGGTGCAGGGCTTCGTCAAGCCTGAGAAGACGAATAAGGACGTCGTCCTAACTTGGAAAGTTCAATCGAAACCCCCTGTCACAGAGCACTCGTTTCAGTACAGGAAAAAAGGGGTAAGTGTTGTTTCCTTAAACTGATCGGAAAACAAGTAGGGAAGTTAAAAATTGTACTGTATAATTTTTTTTTAAATTGAATTAAATCCCAAGAGTGTCTTTGTAAATGCATTGAAAATTGTAGGAAGAAGATTGGAAGAACATTAAGCCTGAAGTAAGCTATGATGAACAGAACGACACATACACCATAAAGGGCACATTGAAGGGTCTTGAACCAGGCAGCTACGAAACGAGGGCCCGTTCCCGAAATACCCACGGATGGTCAAGCTATTCCGATATAATGCCCTTCGAAGGAGGTAAGAATGTGTTTTCATTTTATGTTTCACCGCTTTGCCTGTTCGATTAATAATTATCTCAGCACCGATTTTGATTTTTTGCTTTTCTGCGCAGTTTTGGCTAAACACAGCTCGCACCATAAACCACACCACAAAAAACACCCCAAAGGGAAAGACGTGAGAGGTATACACTTTTTGCACTTATATTTTAGAATGTAGCATGTCAGATTCGGAATAGATTAAATTTTCCGTCGGCCTCACCATAAAACGCGGTTTAACAAACTCGTTTCGTACCAAAAACTAATTTTTTTAATTGCTACATTGTTTTACATCCACAAATATTTCACGGACTTAATTACTTCACGTCTTATTAATTAGGGGTCGTGAAGCAGATGTGAAATAAAAATGCAACTTTTTGTCCTTCGTACATAAATAGTCATTTATGTTTTACTATTTCTTATTTAAACACTTAAGTCATAGTTTGTAAGTTTGCTCAGTGTTATAAAATATGTCACATCCGCATTTCGAATCTGACATTTTTGTTTGTATTTTAATAACAAGTTTTGTTAACAATCACATATACGTTTATGTATTTTTTTAATTTTGAAATGAAAATATCAAAATTATTAACATGCTAACAGCTAAGCTTAAACTAAATGTATGAAAAATTATTTGAAAATTGGAACAATTTAATAGTTTTTTTTTAAATAAATAACTTATTTCCAACAAAATATAAACAAAAGACAAATGCTTGTCTTGTTTCTTTTTATAATCATTTTATGAAGTTTCACTTTCATTTTGTACATTTGTATATACGAGTATGTACAGAGTGTTTCTAAAATATGGTACCAAACTGAGACGAGAGATATCGAAGTATCTTAAAAATGTGTTATTTTGCCAAAAATGTGATGCAATTATATGTTCCTCACTGTGAATGTGAGTCTTTTTAAGATGTTTTGTATTTCCTGCTTCAATTTGGTATCATATACCTCATACGGGGTACCAGTTTTTCGAACTGCACTGTTAAGATCTCGGTTATCTTAAGAAGTATAGGTCAGTCAAATTAGGACATTTTAAATATGCCATAACGTGTAGAAGAGAAATTTGATCCATCTTTTTCATTTTAAATGTGTCGACGAAAAACTCAAAATTTTTATTTTCGTTTTTGTTTTTGTTTTGTTTTTTTATTGTTTTTGTTGTTGACGGAAAAGGTGGGCTCTAAACTTATTGATTAATTAATGTAAAGTTCGTGTGAAACTTGCCTGAACTTCGACATTGTAAATAAGAATTTAACGCAACTGTCGAATTTTTTTTTTACAATAGCAGTTTTATTATAATTTGTATAAAAACAGAAAATTATAATATATTTGCAATCGGAAAAATGTACCGAATACAAAATCCAATATGGTTCCCAAATGAAAAACAAAAGCTGCGTAATCATTGCCTTTAGTGTAAGTTTGGTTGCGTAATAGTCGCAGTGATGTGGGCTTTCGATAATTGTTAAAGTCCCGAAACTCAGACAACTTGTATAATCAAAAATGACTGTTAATAAACAAATTTCCACTTTTTGGATCACACACAGTTATTTTTAAATTTTTTTTAAATTTTTTCTAATAGAAAAACAAGCAGTTCCTACCACACAAGTCACACCTGCACAGCATCAAGAGAATGAAGCATCTGTAGAAGGTATTTTTTTTATTATTGAAAAAATTCTCACTTTTTAAATTATACCATGGTTTTGACAGTTATTTTTACATTTTTTTTTTGTACAGAAGAACAAGTTGTTTCTGCCACACATGTCACACATGCACAGCATCAAGAGAATGAAACAGTTGTAGGAGGTATTTCTTTTTTTTTTTTATTAAACTGTTGTACAATTGGACAAATTTGACTTGTGACCTGAACTGCGCAAATTAAAAAGAAAGCACTTGATGTAGAACTAGACGGAAATGTTCTTACTATCCCCACCACCACTTTGCCACTGCGCACCTACCTTTAGGGCTCAAGTGAATTTGGCTCACCCATAATTGTCTAGAACACATTCGTTGTTTTGTAAATGTAGAAACGTATTTGTTGGTTGGAAGTAGAAAAAAGTAGATATTTAGTTTTCAATATAATGCCATGTCTGTAAGATTTTTGGTGTAAAATTTTCAAAATTTCTGAGCACCGTCTTGAAATATTAAGATTTTGAAACCAACAACGGTAAAACTATGTGCTTCAAGTGTACACTTCACGCTCTCTAAGAAAACGAAGCGAAAGATTTCTTGGGGTATGAAAAATTACACGGGGTAACTTTAAGTGGGAGTCAGTTTTTTGGGGTATTCCCTAGAAATAGTCGAGTTATAATAGTCCAGTCGGTATCTGTTTCGGGATGGATATTTTATATAGTAACGCAAATTTTTGTTGGAAATAGTTCTAAATATTATGTAAAATGATAATTGCGATATACGCCCGCTGAAAGTTATGCATAATTGTTAGTGCAAGAAAATGTAAAAAAAATTAAAAAGCGTATTTTTTTTTCCTTCTTTCATGTCTATCTCGGAGAATATTGACATTAGAGAAAATAGTCAAATGAAAAAATGTTTTGTTTTGAGATTCTCTTCAAAATAAAAGTGGTTTGAAATTTTTATGTGCATTATTGTTGCTGCAATACAGTATAGATCAAAAAAAATATTTGAAGAAAGATGTTTTTTTCATGAATTTATTTCGGACTTTAACTTTAGAGCAGCCATATAAAAAGTATAGTTCTGAGTACCTCATGATATGGTAGTATTGCAAATTTTTTCATCGAAATTGGCCAGGTAAATTTCGCATAATACAATTGTTAATTAAGAAAATACAGAATTATATTTATTTTTCAATTCTCTCTCACGGTAAAACCAATTATTATTTTTAGCTCCCAGTTTTTATACATACCCTTTGGAGTCTCAACTATCAATCCCCATTTTATCCAACAATTAGAATTTTCCTTTGACTATTTTCTCTAATGTCAATATTCTCCAAGTTATACATGAAAGAAGGGAGAAAAATAAGCCTTTTTTAATTTTTATTTTACATTTTCTTGTGCTAACAATTATGCACAACTTTTTCAGCGGGCGCATATCGCAAGTATCATTTTACATGATATTTAGAACTATTTCCAACAAAAATTAGCTCTACTATATGAAACGTCCATACAACCTACTTTTAAAACAGATACCAACTGGACTATAATTAGTTTTTTAAATTGCACTTAAACTCTTGTCTACGCCGTCACTGGGCAACTACTGAACTGGATCGTATAAATAACACTAATTTATGTTTTAGAATAATTATTCTGTTGTTTTATAAAATGATAAGTAACGGAAAATAAAGGTTCTTAGAGCTCGTGAAAATTTTAACAATTTAATTGCTCCCAATTGTTTCAAAATCTAAAGAAATTTCTGTTAAATTTTTTTATGAGCTTCCAAGTAATTTAATAAAAACATTTTATTTTCAGCATCTCAGAGGAGCGGATGTGCAACGGCGCTATCCTCGATATATCTGACGAGCATAGCGCTGCTGGCTTTATGCTGCCGACAGTGAGACTGCTACGAGAACGACGTACAAGTGAAATCTTCCACGCACTAAGTAGCTTAAATACAAGAAGAAAAACCAAAGTATTTAATTCGTTTAGAAAATAAGTAAATTATGCAAAAAAAGTTATTTCGCGACCTAAGCCCTCTCTCACTTTAAACCCGTGTAAATACTTTGTCCTTTACTGTGTTGTTCAATTACCCCCTCCCTTCCGATTCGGTTCGCGGATTCAGATCGACTAAAATCTCGTAGCAAATCGGTTTTGCTGTATTTTTTTAGTGAAAACGACTCTGTGATCTGTTTGTTGTTGAAATGGGAAATTTAAAATTCATTGTCGCAGCAGATTTTTCGGTTCACTCGCAACAGGACAATCTTAGATGCCATACAATTTTCTTTAATATATTTATACATTGGCGAAGTGAACTTAAATGTTTTAAGTTACCTGTAATGTTACATATGGACTTAATATGAATATTTTTTTACTTAATAGGTTCGGTCAGTATTTGTTTACTAGATTTTCCCTCTCGAAATTTATCCAGACCGTGTAGTTCCCCTCTAGTCCGGTTTTCGATTGAATCCTGTTCACGTAGGTTTTATTTAGTCGATAAAATGTGGCAAATCATATATTGAGATAGTTTTATGTATATTGAAATAATTTTGGAATATACGTGTATTTTTTTACGTTATGTTCCGTTTATATTCCAAGGTTATTAACTTGCAGATTTTTAGATATAAATGTACATATTTTGTTTATTTTCGTGTGAGTGACGTATTTATATTTTATTACGTATTTAATACCACAATGCCTAACGAAGTTCCCTACGTTTTAAAACAGAACCGAACAAGAACGTTTTTTTTTAACACCGCGATTAATATTTTTTTAACGAATTAGGGAACTGATTGTATGCCTTATGCTATAAAATTTTTAAAGCAGGAACAAAATCAAATTTTATAAAGTTGAAATTAGAGGAATTGTTGCTTAAAATTAAACAAACGTTTACGGGAAATTCTGAAACGGCGTTTCGATACACTCTGACCAAATTTATCGTACTGCTACTCAGAACAATCCGACGACATATCAGAATTTTGAAGTCCTTACTGTACATACATTTTGAGCCGTGTCAGGATTTTCCGAAGACGAAAACATTGTATATGTATGTATAGAGAAAATATAAAAAATAATATAAGCTACACCGACTTTTATTTCGAAGCGTATGCATGTGAGCGTGTGAGAGTAACACAATAATTTTTATTTATTCTTCTCGAAAATCATCAAAGACCCAAATATAAAACAAAAAGTTTTAATTTTAAGTTTGGAAGCGACGATTAATGCGTCAACTATGGGTATGCAACACACAAATCATCTCGTCCACCGTGCTAATACGGGTAGATAATGCGAAACCAAAATTCAATACAAAATGTACTGGTAAAGTCCCTAATTATTAAGAATCCAATTCAAGAAGGGTTTCAGGAAAATACATTAAAAATATAATTCATAAAAAAGCAAAAACGTGGTAATGGTGATGGTCAATAACAATAATAATAATATCCCTACGCCTTAAATGCAAGGATTAGCCCAGAAGTTATAGACTTATGTGGGAGAGGGTGTGGCATATTATTATTCAGTAGGCCGCAATACTTTACACGCTTCAATATAGTCTAAAATTTCTAGTCTAAATATTTAAGAGGGCGCTATAGCAAATAGGCAACCAGCAATACATTTTTATAGATTTTATCACAGTATATCTAAATATGAAATAATGCACAAATAACAGACTTTCCCCCATTTTAATGCAGAGTTTCTATAAAATGGACTTGGTTTGAAACTCAAATAACTTTTTGTGTAAAGAAATAAGAAGAAGAAGAAAGATGCTGCTTGGTCAAAAGCGGCAAAATACGAATTTGGTCAATAATAATAATAATAAATGTAATATTCCTACGCCTTATTCTAGATGCAAGGATTAGCCCAGAAATTATAGACTTATGGGGGAGAAGGGGCAGCATATTATTATTCAGTAGGCCACAATACTTTACATGCTTCAATATAGTCTAATTTTTCTAGTCTTAATATTTAAGAGGGATCTATAGCAAATAGGCAACCAGCAATACATTTTTATAGATTTTATTACACAGTTCGTCTAAATATGGATCAATGCACAAAAAACAGACTTTCCTCCATTCTAACACAGATTTCTATAAAATGGAGTTAGTTTGAACCTCAAATAACTTTTTGGTGTAAAGAAAGAAGAAGAAAAATGATGCTGCTTGTTCAAAAGCGGCAAATTACAAATTTCTTTACTTACAAAAAGTAATTTAAGTTTTAAACTAACTCCATTTTATAGAAAATCTGCGTTAGAATGGAGTAAAGTCTGTTACTTGTGCATTGATTCATATTTAGACAAACTGTGTAATAAAATCTATAAAAATGTATTGCTGGTTGCCTATTTGCTATAGAGCCCTCTTAATATGATTGATTTAGAACATATCCAAAAAGAATTATTAGAGTTATTGTCAAAATTGGGACCGGCTTAAACAATTTTTTTCTATCCCATACTGAAAAGAAGGAAAAAAAACATGACCGTTAAACTTAGGCAACTCAACATTGCACGACGTACTGGTAATGAAAAATTTCTAAATCTGAGCGTCATATCAGTCACAGTGATTCGTTTACAATAAACAATGACAAACTGTTACGTCTACGCTTGAGATAATTGGATCGCTGATTGGTTACGGTTACTGGTTATGTGGCTTGTAATCATTTATGAAAGGCTATATAGAAACTATTCCAAATAATATCAAAATAAATGTTAGTAAAGAATAGGACCTGCTGCTCCTACAGAATCAAAAAAGGCCTTCATAGATCATCTTGATGCGGCGCTATTGCTCATTGGGGTGGTTTCTCAAAGATTTACAACCATTTTCTTTCATTTTTCTTTTGGTGTACCACATTTGTTTAGGCCAGTTATAGGTATCCAGTTCGAAATCTAGTAATAACCTGCACTATTATGTAACGTTGAGTAATTGTATTGGCAATTACTTTATTAAGAATGAAAATCGGCGCGTCTGAACAAAAATTTTTAGTTTAAAATTTATTTATTTACAGACTAGTATAATAACCATAGGCGATAATAACACAGTATAATACAAATCATTAAGAACATACACTTTTTAGGGGAAGAAAGAAATGTGACCTTGAAGAGATCAACCATATTGAAAAGGAATATATTATTTTCTGTTCCGTGGGTCTATCAGGCGGCGGGAATTTTAAATTTCATCGAGAAATTATTTCTTCGCATTTTGACGCAAAATAGATGTAGTTATTTTTCGTTTTAAATAAAATTGAGAACAAAAAGAGATAATGCAGCAGTAACTAAACATATTCACAACGAATTCACAATAACAGAAAATAGATTGTAAAGATGTAAACAATCACTAAAGAAGGAGCTTGGGGACAACGCAAAGAATGATTATTTGCAACCATTGTTCTATGATTGTACTAATTTGTAATATGCTGTATTAGTAGATCGCTTTCTATCAGGGGGTACAAAGAAATCTTTGTACTCACAGACAGAAACATAATAATTGTAACAAATAAGGACTGAAATACCCCTACGTAATTAATTTTATAACAGTACGTGCAACTTCAGTCAATTTCCTTCCCCACACAAGAGCCACCCCAGTGTAATAAAAAATGTAGGGCAAAATATTTAGTTAACTAATTAATTATGTCATCGATTTTACGCATCACCCAAGTGTATGGTTTGTAAAACCACACCGAAATAATCCTTCATTTATGTGTCAACATTTTTCTACGGCAGCAAAATCTACATTTGAATTGCCTTCGGCAACACGAAACTGCCAGCCAATAAGGAAACATTGGATTACATCGCTATTGGTCATTTGATTCCCCCTCCATAAGAGACGCAACATTTGTCATTTTTATATCACGTAACTAGGGCAACGGTGTGGCCTGACAAGAACCAATAGCGTACGATTCTTTGGAAATAAAACAGACACAAAAATTAAAATTGCGAGCAGTTTTATATTCAGCTTGTTACCACACGATGTCGTTGGCTTGCGATTAAATTTTATAAATACAACACAAATAAGTCAATTACAACTCTGAGCTCTGATATAAGTAAATGAAATTTAGGTCATAACAATTTAGCGAGTGATACTTGTTGATAGCCTCGTTTATTCAGTTCATTTGTTGCTTTGCCGCAACATGTTCTTTGAATTGTACTGGCAGTATTTTGTCGTCGGGCTAATTTTTTACGTGATTGGTAGGGTTGGACTGACAGTGTACCAGGGTCTTAATAAAAAACAAGCTCTTCAAAAGAAGGACGATGACTACCAAACCCCAGACCAAAGTAAGTGCTGAAATTTGTGACGGTTTTTGAGTTTTTAGATACGCCCTAATTCCTAATTCATTTGTCTTTTTATAATTTACGTAGAACGTAAAACTGAGAGGTGCAAATTTTTATTTTAGAAAATAATTAACGTATTGTAGAGGCGCGTCCCCAGAGAGCTGTGGTAAAATAGGTGAGATATTAATTATGTATGTTATGTTTGCATGGCTGCATTTGGTACGCATGCGAAAGCTCAACTCAAAAACTCAATAACTAGACGCTTGTAAATGAGTTCGTTTGATAAATGCCTCATTCTGTGGCAAATTATACTTACCGCCAAATATAAAAACGTTACTATGCAAGACCGGCTCTAGCACACTTGAAAAATAACTAATTTGAGTCATTTTGTCACCACCACGTCTAATTATTGTCAATAAAGGGTGTACCAAAATTCACGCAAGAAGTAATTTTTATAGAAAATACACGTTTCTAATTGAAAATTGTAAATTTTTTATTGATTCATAAAGTATACAGTATAGTGTTATGTATGGAATAGCATATCAGGTAAATAGTTTCATCGGTCTACGCCGTCTAACATCCTCAGCGATATTTAAAAAAATAAGATATTTCTTCTAACTTGATCACCCTGTATATCAAGGACAGAACGGACTACAACCCACGTTTATACGAAACTTTTCGCTTCAAATCACCTGCTGAAATTTCCCGATTAAGGCCTGTACATTCTTAAATCTTTCGAGATACAGGGTGTACCTCGAAAACCGGTTGATTGCACCCTTGGGTGATTTAAGTTTTTTAGCCTAAACAATACGTTGTATATTTTAGCTGCAGAAATGGAGTTGGAATCCTCGAAAGATGAAGGAGATGAAGAACTTGCGCCAGCACTTCCAAGCGACCTAAAACACATACCCTTACAGTTCGAAAGAATGTCCAAGGATCGAGCTGTTAAAAAGTCAGAGGAGTTTTACGATTTACTGAACAAACGACGCACTGTTCGGCATTTCAGCAAGGAACCAGTGCCAAAGGAAATTATTTATAACATCATCAAAACCGCAGGTAAAAATAAATGATTTAATATTCTTAGACTGAAACCGAACCGCATTTATCACATGTTTTATTAAGTGTGGAAAAGCGGTTATTTCAGAATTATTTGTTGGCAAATCATAATTTTAAATTGGACACAGCTACAACACATATGAACAATGTAGAACAAAAAAAATAGATCTTTCTTTTAGGCACAGCACCAAGCGGAGCACACACCGAACCCTGGACCTTTGCAGTGGTCAGTTCCCCGGAAATAAAACGGCAGATCAGGCAGATTATAGAGGACGAGGAGGAAATAAATTACAAAAAACGAATGGGTAAAGTTTGGACCACGGATCTGAAGCCACTGAGGACCAACTGGGTTAAGGAGTATCTGACAGATGCTCCATACTTGATCCTAGTGTTCAAGCAGATGTACAGCTTCAAGGAGGACGGCACGAAGAAGTTGCATTATTACAATGAACAGAGCGTTTCACTGTCGTGCGGAATTCTCTTGGCAGCCATCCATGTAAGGTTAATTGAGATAATTAAGGTACCATATGGGCAAAGCTTAACCTAACTGTTTATTGATTTAACGGTAAATTACATTTTCTCAATTTTTTAAAAAATTAAACAACTTCCGGACTAATTTGCTACGTCTTCGGTTTAGACTAATGGACATTTCAAGAGATATTTACGTTTATTCCCATTGTGTCATTTATAGCGAAGTCCTAAAATCTAAGAACTCAGTTCTTCAATGAAGATCATGAGCAAGAATAACAGAAAACTGTTTTATTTTTTAGTGTGCTGGATTAGTTTCTTTGACGTCGACTCCCCTGAACTGCGGCCCAGCTCTTAGGTCGCTGCTAGGGAGACCTGCTTCTGAAAAACTGACCCTGTTACTTCCGGTGGGGTATCCAGCAGAGGAGTGTCTAGTGCCCGATCTTCACAGAAAACCGCTGGAAGATATTATGGTAGAATTTTAATTTAACAAATTTGGGACAATATCTACTTTTTTTATATATTAAAATTTTCTAAATGTAAACCATAAACACTTATTTGTAATAAAGTATCTCACTGATAGAGCTGTGATGAATAGACGTTTATTTTTTCAATGCTTTTAATTCCCGATGATACTTCTAAAAAACAAAAATCTATTCCATCTTATTCGAAAAACTGAAAATTTTTGAATCACAGAAATTAAATCCTCGTTTTGAGAAAAAAAATTAAATATTTTCATTCGTGTAGAAATTTTGCGTTATTAATAACAACAGCGGGCATACCCCCGAAATAAAAAGCAAAATTGTTACGCTAATGAGTTTTTCGGACTGTATTTCAAATTATTTCTAGCAAACAAATTATATAAACTGCTTTTGTGAAGTTCTAGAGCTATATTAAATTTATAAAAGTTCTGGTGCTGGATAACGGTAATGTAAGTTAAAAAAAACTCGAATATGGCAAGTTTCTCGAAAAATTTAAATAAAAAATATAAAATCAGGTTCTCAATACCGATGCATCCACCATAATTTGTAATCGACTGATCCTTCGATAGAACTGATATTTTTTTCATTTTAACATAAATACAGGTAAGAAGGTAGGCGTTCTGTACTGTGTTACAATTTTGGCATTTCTCCAGGGTTTTTTATATTTATTCACTGCCTCGGATATTGATTTCCTCTTTAACGCTGTTCCTCTCCTTCAAGGTCACCGAAACGCCAGATTACACAATCATAAACAACCACTTAAACCAATACTGAACGGAGATAATTGTTATTACAGCATTTATGCTTCTTATCTCGTATATAATTATATCACTAAAGGCTCGGTATTGACAAAAATCTGCCTACCTACCCATTCAAATTCATGTGTAGCAACAAGTGGCAATAAGTTGCCACAGTCGGTACCGAGCCGCACTATAGACAAATGCGTGTTAGAAAACAAAGTGCGACACGACATTAAACAAGTCTTGTGCAATTTCGAAACGATTGGGTATTTATTAATAACGGCGTCCGAAGTTGAACTTCTCACTTGACAGTGTTTTGTTTCCAATGCCACCAGCTATTATTATGAAAATATTCGATACTGGCGACGCAAGTTGGAATGAACTAACCGCGGGCTAAAAATATCCCCGCGGTCTACACGCTATTGTTGCAAGTTGCCCATTATTCGCGCAACAGAAACAAATATCCTACAAATACTCGGAAAACCAATTCTAAAACGGATAAAGATAATCACTATCTGGGCACGCTATTTAGTTCAAATCTTGGTGCGCCAAGGCAATGACAAAGCGAGCGCGAACGAAGTAGGAACGCCATGAACCAGCCTACTTTGATCCGCAGATTTGACATCTCAAAACATGGGCACGTAAATTCGTTTTGAACAGACACGGCGGGTCCTTTTAAACTTCAAACGCCGGTGAATAGAAACGAGTCCGATAAAATTGCTGAAAACGCTTCCGAAATAACTGACCTTCGAGTGATTGATTATATCAGAACGCGCGATCGTAGCTTTTTTAAAAATCATACGGAAAATAATAAGTGAGTGGGTGAATTGTTTTGATAACAGGTGGTAGTTTGATTCAGGAAGCATGGAGGCGGCTATATTAAAACAGCAGAGTGATAGTGAGGCTTTCACGAAGACGCCCGTGCCCCTTTCAAAGTCTCCGGCGACTTCACCGTCTATCCGGACCATGACCCAGACGGTGATCGTGTCTCTGGCTGAGACTGTGACACACGATATTACATACGGTGAGTTTTTTTGGTTTTGTTTACCGTCCAGCATGTAGGCATGCAAAGCGAACATGTGCGGCGTGGGAGGGGTAGTTGTTTGTTGCTAATTCCTGAACGAAAGTAAAATTTCGCTGTCACGCCTGCGAACTACGAGGCGAGTTCGAAATAAAAGATTTTGCCAAAACTAAACGCGGTGTAAATGAAATCCGTGCGGGCCTTGGTTTATTTTAAACTATTCTGAATGTTTATATTGTGAGCGCGGATCCAGGTTCCAATGGAAACGGAAAATGTACCGGGTGGCCGCTCTTCGAGCCACGGCATCTTGGTTATCCTAACACATACAAGGCCTGTCAAATTAGAGCAAAGTTGAGCAGTTTGATAACGAATCTGATGTTATTTTTGTGCTGTCGAAAAGTCGAAATGTTGAATATACGGCTAATGCGGCATACATATTTGAATTTCCCACTTGAAAAATTTTTCAAAAAAATATAAAAATAACACAGACCCACAAAAAAAAGTTAAAAATATCAGAGACTAGACCCACCTATCCTTATATATTTTGACGCGCTGAAACCGAATCCGGAGTCAAAATTGCTCCATCAACCTCCAGTTTTTTTTAAATCGCGAAAAACTACCCCAAAAACACGGAAAATCTTCAAATTCTCGCTTGGCAACGGGTCCGAAGGTTGAGATAAACGTGAGAACCAGCACAATAAGACTATTTTATATGTATTTTGACGAGCTAAAACCGAATCCGGAGCCAAAATTGCTCAATCACACTCCAATTTTTTTTAAATCGCGAAAATCATCACAAAAAACGGAAAATCTTCAAATTCTGGCTTGAGCACGGGTCCGAAGGTTGAGATAAACGTGGGAACCAGCACAATAAGACTATTTTATATGTATTTTGACGAACTAAACTGAATCCGGAGCCAAAATTGCTCTATCACCCTCCAGTTTTTTTTAAATCGCGAAAATCATCCCAAAAATCCTAAAAATCGCGTGTTATTGTCTCGGATCTTAACATTCTCTTTTTTTTTAGCGTAGTGTAGTGGATACCTTTTTCTTTTTCTGCTATCTGGCTCGGATTCCCTTTTAAGCATCCAACAAAAATCTGCCATCATATTAACATCCCATCGTCCTTGGTACCGGCGTTCCATTTCCTCAATGTCTTAAATAAAGATGAATTATGCTACATTTATGGTAAATTTGAATTTTCTAAACAGGGATTGTATCTGAGGATTCGGTTTTAGCTCGTCAAAATACATATAAAATAGTCTTATTGTGCTGGTTCTCACATTTATCTCAACCTTCGGACCCGTTACCAAGCGAGAATTTGAAGATTTTCCGTGTTTTTGGGGTAGTTTTTCGCGATTAAAAAAAAAACTGGAGGGTGATGGAGCAATTTTGACTCCGGATTCGGTTTCAGCGTGTCAAAATACATAAGGATAGGTGGGTCTAGTCTCTGGTACTTTCAACTTTTTTTTTTGTAGGTCTGTGTAATTAAAATATTACTGAAGTTTTTGCTCTGTAACTGCAAAACAAAAAAAAATAGGTCAAAAAAGAATATATGTAAATCCCCCTGTGGACGCCTATGATGTCTATAAAATGTTATTTCTCCTATTTTGGAAAAACTAATGTTTCAATTCAAAAGCACCAGCATATACCTAGGTACAAAGGTATATCTAACAAAACGATTAGATCTTCGAACATTTTTAGAAAAAAAAATGGTCTGTATTCTATACTTAATTATTTCATTATCAACATATCACTAGAATTATTGTTCTACTAAAAAAAAAAAACAAACATACCGATAGACGTATCTAATAATAAATATTTTTAAGCAAAGTTATTATTTTACACAAAATTCCACGTCGTATAAATAAAAGGAATACGAATTAGATAAGATTAGATTATATTTTATAGAAATAATAGTTACAGGAAATTAACAGGAGATTATTTTATATGTAATTTAGCGAGAATGTTGTTTATTTGCATATTTTTCAAATTTTAGGTATATTCATTATCAATTGTGCTTTTCCTGAATGGTAAATAAACCGTTAAAATTCAATTCTACTTATCCAAATTGTGGTCTGTGAATATCCCTGGTGAATGGTAATACTACCGTTTAGATTTGTTTTTATATTTAAAATTTAATGTATTTTTACCTAGAGAATTTAATTTGCTAGCTTTTTACCGTTGAATTTGGTGGATAGATTAAGATTCCTTATACTCCAGTCGAATTAGATTTTTTTACTGTCCACGAAAATCTAGACGACCTATCGGAAAATTAGTCATTTTATCTTGTAAGTAATTAAATTACCTACAATTTAAGGTATCATATTTCACCAATTTGTTAACTGTAAAATAAAAATTCAACTCGGAAAAATCAGTTTACTAATTACTATATTGGCAACAAAAAGGCGTAGGTGATTTATCTTTTTATTAAATTATCGTAAAAATGAGCTCTATTTAATGCAAAAAGATCAAATTCCCGAGCGGCTTTTGCCTGACCCTGGGACAATTTGTTTATAACTCTATTTTGCACGTCCTAATATGATAGTTTTAAAGGGCAACTTGATTTCAACTTTTTGAAATGTTTCTTTTTCCATACGCCTCTTTGGATCAATACCTAAAATCAATACCTCTAAAATTAAGGTTTAGTAATTAAACAATTAGCAACAAAACGAACGAAATTAACAAATAAATACCTGGAGCAACAATTTCACGGTCAATCGTTTCGGTCTTTGTCACACATGTTGATCTTTGGATTGACCGTCTTTTCCATAAATTTCATAAACATCCATCGCTTTTTACAATAATAATGCGCAACTTTCGAACAACCTTTATTTTACAGTTAACAAATTGGTGAAATATGAGTTTAGATACCTTAAATTGTAGGTAATTTAATTGCAACTAATATTTCCATAGGGCGTTTAGATTTTCGGGGAAAGTAAAAAAAGTGAAACAGGTAATTCTGCCACTTAGTTGCAATTTGCTAACTTAGCGTCACTTTTTTCGAGTTACTTTTTTGATATCACTACATACCCTTCCCCGTCATAAAGTGCAATAAAAGGTCTACTAATATTTTTTCCAAGTTTTCTGGTTTTATGATCTTATTCGACTGGATTATTATTATTTATAGAAAACACTAAAAACAGAATTAGTCTAATCTAATTACACAAAATAGAGTGCCAAGTTTTTCTAATTAAAATGTACCAGTATTCAAGGGCAAATCGAGATGGAATCGTACTCATTGTTTGCATGATAATTTACATTCAGTTTTATTCCGAGTGGGTAATCCTTATAGCAAAACAAATATGTATTAAAAATTTTAATGCTAATCTACCTGGGGACGTAGGTACTGTCCTGTGTCCCTTACAACATTAGTAATATTTTTTAAATTATATTTACTTTATTGATTCGTTTAAATTTATGATAAAATGGGACAGAAATTTCTAACAGAAATCAATTATTACTTTAACAAATTTTTGAAAATTTTCAACAATACGTTTTGCGGAATTGAAATTAAACTTTAGTCATTTTCATGTCCATTTTGTTTTGATGCAAATACAAGAAAACTTAATGCCATGCCTTCGTAGACTGATGAAGCACTTGCATAAATACCATCTAAAACCTTTGTGTTGATTTGAATAAAATATATTTTCTGAGAATATTAATATTTAGGATTTTAACGTTCGACAGATATTCAATTCGCATTATTAAAAAAAACTATGCTGTATATACATTTTTTCGTTAAAAATGTAAATGATTTCAAGAAAGCTCATCTTACAGAATATTAATTATCTAGATACTACTGTTGTGCTCATTTTATTTATTAAAACATCATTCTAATGTAAATGATTACAATTTTTAAGCATATTTTAAGCTAAATGGCAATGAATAAATACTTAATCATTTATGGAAATCGATTAGACATTATTGCAACAGCTGATTAGGTAGGTACATTGATTACTCATTGCTGAAGGTGATTAATTATTTATCTCAACTAAATTGGGTTTATACATAGGAAATATACCTATGTGTTGTTTTCTTGTAATAGGCATCTATTTTCTATTTTAAAAATGCTTATCTATTCATACAGAAATGCAATTTTATAAAATACAATACATTGGTATGTACAGGGTGATTCACTATATTTTGACCCCCCCATTATCTTTTTTGTTTTAAGAGTTATAAAAAAATGTAAAATACAAAATTTGCACGATTTTTTATGAATTTTTCGAAAATGACATTTGAAAAACAAATGACGTCCAAACAAAATGGCCGGGGGTGTTAACTTTGTTAATTTAAATGGAACACCCTGTATATTTTTACATATTTGGATAGAACGTTCCCTGTCTAGTATAGTCATATAGAGTTTGTTGGGTCCATCTCTAACAATAAGCGAGATACTATTAAAGAAGGTTTTTTATTAAGAAAATATGATATCTTGTAATTGTTAGACCTCTTTTAGGCATTTCTACTTTTTTTGCAATTGTGTAAGGATTTACAGATTTAGTTACAGATTTAGATTTACAGTTTATATGGTTCAAAATGCGTATCGGTATTTTAACTAAATGAAAAAATGTTACATAATAAACATGGTTCAGTTGCATTATTTATATAAATTAATCAACACGAATTTTATCATGTTTACTTGTAAGTATTTGAACTTGGAAACTAAAGAGAAACAATGCAAACAGATTAGATTATCTGGAGAATGCGAAATATGTTGTCGCGTTGCGTGCATTTGCTCCATCTAGTAGGTATAAGACGTACTAACCAATAACTGTATGAATGGTTGCATAATGTTGGGCGTAAACTCACAAATTAATTTTACACCTAATTTCTGATTTCTGAAACCGCAATTATGCAATTAACCAATACATTAACTCATGTTCAATTATTATTAAATTTACGTGCGAGATAAAATTATTAAATAGTTATGTGATTAGTAAAAGTTATTAAAAAAATACCTAACGCCTAATTAAATAGATATAATAATTACAATTACTGTTAGTATTAATTTGTAACAATGATTTTTTCAATAATTAGATGTAGGTACATACATATGCCTTAATCAAAACAATTCCATATCATATTCTACGAAATATTTTTTAAGTTTTCACTAACTTAAGGAACTATAGTGAAAAATGGAATCGAAAATTGGGCTATTAGTATATTGCCTAACTGTACTTTGCAAATAGTTGAGCAGCTGATTTGTGTTTTTTATCTCTTTCGCTTACGCAATCCATTTCATTGAAACACGTGTCGTTGGCGAGCCGTTTTTTCCAAAGTGCAAACAACAGCGTATTTTTTTGTTATTTACTGTGCACAAAGCATGTAATCGTTTTCAAAATACTAGTTGTTTATTACTTGTTTCATGAAATTATTTTTCTACAAACAAATCATGACACAGAACGCGTTACTTTGGCAAGGCGAGTGAGAAAGAGATGGAAGAGAAGACCGATGAGTGGGGTGAAAGGAACATGGATACCGACTAGAGTTCGAAGCTCAGTTCCAAGTCGAACGCGACGTCGGTTATGTTTACAGTTAGTTTCGGTTTTCTGATTATTTACATCCTAAGTTTTGTTTTGGAATAACTTTTAATTTGTCGTTTTCGCACACAGGAATATGTTTTGACAGAATTTAGTGCTTTTACGCTACCGAATGTTGAATGTAAAATAAGTGTCTTGATATAACCTAACCTATACTGACAAATACATTTAAAAATTAAACTACTCTTGTGATAGTGCTGCACTGTTATAAGAAACTACAGCCCAACTGAATTTGAAAATCGGCATTACTTGTGAGGATTTAAGTGTTTGGCTTGGATAAGAAGTTGTGTAACTTTGTGAATGTTTCGCGACCTACATTCGGAAACTCTGATAAAAAACATAAGTCTTTATGAACTTTTCAATTAAGTGGTTACCAAATTTCCCTTATAAATATTCGTAATAGTGTTTTTTACGTAACTTAACTGAATTATGAAGTTGTCACTGTGAACACGGAGAAGCAACCTTATTGTTCAAAAATGCGTTATCATAAGAAAACTAAGGAAAGTGGATTTTTCGAGGGTGATTCGTCTGACACGGACGGTACGAATATGGGGAAAGCTTTAAAAAGGACGAAAGTTTGTACTACCTCTAGTGAATACAAAAGAAAAGTCGAATATACACAAGAAGAACTGGATACCCATATCAGGAACTGTGCCCAAAAAGGTACGAATCTTTCACATAACTTTATAATTAATTCATGCAGTGTAAGGCATTTTCCTTTTTCTAAAAAAATCTGTTCATTTGAAGCTAGAAAGGCTCTCGGAGAAAGGCATTTTGATTTGTGGTTTTATAAACATTAAAATAGGTTAACTGTAACTGTATGCGGCTAGATGAATTCCTTTGCTGCCGCTTATAACATAAATTTTAAACTAACGGAACATTGCCCAATTTGATATCTGGAAACACTGCGCCACAAGTTTCTCTGAACTGTTGCATATTTCGAAAGAGAATTTTTACTTTCGCATAAAAACATATTTTGTGCTTATTATTTATTTAATAATACACGTGTAATAAATTTCTAAATGAATTTGTAGCATATTTATTGCAGATAAATTGGGCAACAACGCAACAGCAATCCCTTCACCTCAACCCCTGATATTTATTGTACCAGGTACCCTCTCTAGAGCTCTTTATAGGCCTATCCGAGGGGTGACCTTTCCAAATTTCATTTAGGGTAATGGCTTGCCTTTCTCGTTCTGTAATAACTGTTAGACATGTTCCCATTAAAAAATTAAAGTTTGTACAGGATTCATTATGAACGCGATTACTTTATTGATTTGTTGCTAGGTTTTAGAGTACCTACTTATAAATTTGTTGATTTTTACCTGACGATATTTGCTGTGCACCATGAAATATATGCCAGCTGCTCTCGTGGGTTTCAGGCAAGAGATTTCGTTATACTACCATGCCACAATAATCCTGTAATCGTTGCTTTGTTATTTTTTATGTTTTTAGTAATTCGTGCTACTTGTGCAGAACGTTGTTTATTTAAATGTAGCAGGGTAATAATAACAATAAATCAATTTATTAGCAAGTATAAACAGTAATATGTTTTTACAACCTCGAGAAATAATAATAACAAAATGATAATATTTATTAATGAAGACACAAACACTTTGCTGGAGACGATGACGTTGGTATTTCATATTCATGGACAAAATGAAATAATAAATTCCGGGAACTTGAGTTGATTTGCTTGCAATTACGATGTCTTAGAAATACACTTACCTAGTTAAACTGTTATTATATTTCTAATAGAAAGTAGGGTTACTACCTGTGGAACAAACACTTAAACTTGTGTTATCACAACGCAATTAATTAGTGATTAACAAACAAGAAACGTTGGGGCTCATAATAACCATTTCTGCCTTGAAAGACGTACCTACGAGAAAGTGAATCATAAGCTTTGCTTCGGTAATTCTACTTCACCTTTTGTAAACAGATTTATTCATGGGGTGTCTGCCCTATTCTCTATTTGTGTGTACGTCGCGGGGATTTTGTTTCCATCTAAGAAAATAAGATTGATATTTATTGTTTTATTTTTGTTTTCGTATGCGTCAGCGTTGTGAAATAACTAATTTGGGTTTTTCAAATGACTATTATTTTGTAGTTTAGAATGTCTCATTTTCAAATAACAAGATTATAAAAACTCATCCAATTCGTACCAAAAAATACCATGTGAAGGTGAAGAAATTTTTCGAAAACTGAAGTGCAGTTCAGTTCATCAAGTCCAATGCGATTAAACAGTAAATAAACTGTACATAGGTACATTTTATTGCCAATTCATTATCTACGCGATAGATAACTCGACAATTTTATCTAAATTACTCTTCGAGCTGAACCGTGTTTGTAAATTTCACTAACAACCTAAGAGCAGGTGAAGGTTTTTGATACCGTGTTTCCTTATCACAGCTGTGTACACAGAATAATGTTATTAAAATAATAAAAGCGCATTCCTCGTGTTGCCACCTACAAAGTTTGGATAAACATTACGGTTTATTTATAATCTAGATCCCGCCGTAACACACCGCAATTGATTTACAAAGCACCTGAAAAATATGTTAATGGCGAATGAATACGCCCATTTTCGGATGTTTTCGTTATATTAACCCGTGCGACATTGAATTTTAACCAGGTCTCAGTTGCGTGGGCACTCGAATAGTAAAATTGACGGGGATATTTTCCGCGATTATTGATTAGCGAAATTAAATAGTTGTGTAAGGATGAAGGCGACAGATACTTATCACTGCTAATGATAATATTCCATTAATTATATCGAATTGTAATCCAGTGGAGCATGCCAGTTTTTCGTGGTGTTTGCACAAAAAAAATAATTGCTGTCGTGACATTGAGAACAGCTGAGTGTAAACAGACAGATTTTATCTGTTCTACCGGTAGGAATAAACAATTTTATGGCAAGGAGGAACTTTGCGGTCATAAAATTCGTGTTGTAACAGGTACTCGAGGTGCAACCATGCGGTTTTTCGAAAAATATTGGGGTGCTCAGCAAACAATTTAATTTTTTCAAAATCCAGAATTAGGTTAGAAATCTTTGTGGTATCGAGGAACATTGTTTGACATTGTTTGATTAACACATTCAAATTAAAGTAAAGATATGAGAGCGATATATTGTATTTTGTGTAAGATTTTTGGTTATTTTCATAAAATCTGATCTTTTTGCGCAACGATTAAGGAATTCTAGTAATTTTTTAAATTTTTTCTGCAGGCGGCAAAATATGTACTTACTCATGACATAGAATAGCAACTATTTTTCCACATTTATACGTGCGACGTTGCCATGCGGGTTTAAAAGCCCTAGAACCCAAGATATTTTAGTTAATATAAATATTATTGTCTAGTTAATTATTGTATTATTTTTTTGAATTATCTTTTTTACCTTTAATATCCAAACCCCCTGAAAGTGGAATTTATAATTGTTAATAAAAAAATATCCGGCACTAATTTTTCGGGTCCCGGAGGCCGAGGTATGCGGTTTTAGCGGCTTTTTACGCGAATTCAATGGAAATTTAAAATCCATAAAGATCGCTATCGCTCCACAGACGGTCGTTATTAAGATGGCGGCCTCAACTGGTTGAACTGTTAATTGCAGCCGACGAAAATTGTAAATCGTTAAGTAACTCGTTCTCCGCAAAATACTTGGACGCCAAGGCCAGGTGTGCCGACGTTTCGTCTGTTTTAAAAATCAATTCCAGCCTGGTCCTATCGCGATGGGGAATCGCTTGCTCGATGCAGCCATTCCTGCACAAAGATCGATTTAGCATTAGCGTCTTGTTAATCTAGTGCCTAATGTCGTATCGTTTACGCTTTTAGATATTTTATAATAAACCGAAGGTAACATCCTTGACGGGCTTTTTATGGAGTTTTTTTTTTGCTTTCTATTTCTCGTATAAGCAGCAGGAAACGTATACAAACTTGTCTAGTTTAATGAACAATTAATTAATAATAAGTTGTATGGTAATGAAGTTTTTTCGTGAGATGCATGCTGTATTTGATTTATCAGATACTCCCGAGATAAAAATAGCAACGCGATACTTAATGGCGTGTGTCAGTTTGTAATTGTAATAAAAAAAAATGGGATATGCAACAGGTTCGTATTAATCGACCTGATTGGTTTGTAATGGACGATATTTTTATTTTTTAAGTAATACACATTTTCCTAATCTTTTTCTAAATTTCTTGTACACAGAAGAGATCATTTCTTCGTTTATGGTGGGAACAGTTTCCTGAATTTTTTGCTCAAGTAAATCAATGTTATCGTGAAAATCGTTTGAATACACTTTTTGCTTTAGGTATCCCCATAAGAAATAATTTAATGGGGACAAATCGGGTGCCCGTGCAGGCAAGATATTGGTCCATCTAATACTGGCAAAACAAAGTTATTGAGAATTTCCAAATACAAATTTTGATTAAGATTTTCTTCCAAAAAGTAAGAACCAAGTCAGAAAGTAAAATATTATTATGAAAGAATCTACTTTCAATCAGTTTCTCGGTCATTGTTAAACAAAAGTCCAAACGACGACCATCATCTTTATCAAACAATTTGTGATTAAACATTGGTTCTAATGAATAGATTTTGTTGTATACTAAAATTCTTTGCATATGAGATGTGTTAATATCCATATTTTTGACCTTTTCCTAAGTGACACTTTTGGATTGTACAGAGTCCATAACTACAACAGCATATCCAGAGACACTATATAATTTTATTCTATTAATATTTGTCTCCATATTGATTAATTCTATTTGCAAGGATAGGCCAGGAAAAAGAGCTGGAAAATGACCACTTTGCGACTTTTTGTTTCGGCAAGCTGAATGTATCACTATGGATCCTAAATAATATGTAGGTACATATTAGTTTAACAGTCATAAAAATGGGGGGAAGATTGTTTACAGGGTGGTTAATTGTATATTTTTTAGGTAAATTCATGTTTTTCGCTTATAACTTTTTTTGCCATTTCCACGAGAAAACAGTAAAGTACATTTTTTCGTTTTCGAAAGACCTACAAAACTAGCCCTCGAGCGTAAAAAAAATATTAATTAGATCAAAAGTTATAAACAGAAGAAGTTTATTTATGACTTTTAAATTAAACATTTATAAACTGCGTTATTATTACCAAAACGTTTTGGCATCGCATCCTCTCATTCCTTATCACTGTCTAATAACTCACACGAAATCTGGAATCGGTAAGTTGAATAGTTTACAAGTTATGGCCTTATAAACAAATTAACTAATAATTATTAGTCCGGACGATCCTGAGCAATTTCGCTTTTTTAACGGCAGTACTATGAATATTATCGTCATTTTCTTCGGACTCGCTCTCGTTCGCTTTGCCCACCCTTCCGCCGCGCCACGGCGCGCCGAAGAATCAAGCGACCCTCTGTCTTTTAACAATATTTCTTGAACACTTAACATACTTCCACAAATAAAATATTTTTATCTGGGAAAGTACTCGGGTTATCGGTTATGACAGTAATTTTTTTTGCTGCTACCAACCTAATTTGTTTAACAATAGGCCGTCAACTTTGACAGCCCCCCACTTTTATGACTGTGGAAACTAATATGCTATTGTACATAATATTTAGCATCTATAGTGATAAATTCAGCTTGCCGAAACAAAAAGTCGCGTCCAACTATATTTCTT